CCCATGTCGACCAAACACCCTAAGGTAAGTGAGAGAGCTGAGGGTACCCGGGGCCACCTGCGCGTGTCTCATCGGTAAAAGCGAAGTTAGGGATGGAGCCAGTTTAGCTGGCGTGTGTGAGTGGTGAGTGTGAGTGTGAGTGTGAGTGTGAGTGTGGTGTGTGTGTGTGTGTGTGTGTGTGTGTGTGTCGTGTGTGTGTGATGTGTGTGTGCGTGTGATGTGTGGTGTGTGCGTGCTGTGTGTGTGTCCCATTTCATTCCCACACTTCCAGGAGGAACCGGGAGTTGCAGCTGGAGAAGTCTCCAGCTCTGTTTTTGTTTGAGAGTGAAACTCGCTCCATAATTATGACCTCAGCTGATAACAAGGAACCCCCAACTCCCCCCCCCCCCCTCCCTTCAACCACTATTAAGATGCCATGTCTATCCACCCACAAACACAGCATGGGGTAACACACTTCTTACCACATACAGTACGGGTGCTAAGAGGGCACAGCTCTTTGGAAGTGTAATCATGTATGGTCTAAAAGGAGGTAAGACAAGATAACAGTTACTTTACTGAACTTTTTAAAGAATTGAAGAAATCGTTGAACTTATTTAAAATAAATGTGTATTCTGTATTTTAAACTAAATCGTTTTTTCGTGCTCTCAGGGATGGATCCGGATTACCTTACATGTTAAGAATTTCTTTTTGAATCCAGCCCATACATTTAAATAATTCCCTCTTTAGGAAATGTTCTCTAATCATTTGTTTTGAAACGATTATAATATTTAGGAAGTACAAAGCTTTGTCAGCGGCAAGAAGGACACTCCAACTCATTTGTGCCTTTAACATCGTGTCCCCTAATTGATACCCCGTGCAGAGAACATAACATTTTCATTTGGGCAGATGTTTAAGGGTTTAAAAGGAGAGTTGTAATATCTTTCTTTCAAAGTAAAAGCACAGGGGTCAGAGATCAAACACTGTCCCTAATGGCTCGACAGGTTCTTAAATTAATAAACAAAGTTTGAATTAGTAATTGAAAAACACTCGGTTTAAAGAAAGTACTAAAATCCACATTCTATAAACACTTCTCAACATGTCAAATGTCTCTTCAGTGTCCTCCTCTCCCCACACGAGGGCAGCAACATGTTTGTGTTGGTGCGCACTGCATCAACTGAGCCACAGCGAAAGAACTATCTGATAAGATGGAGTTTGAAAGAAACAGAAATAGGTTACGGCTCTGCTGCTGAATCTGCCACTAACCCTTTCCTGTTATTTCTGTTTGACATGTTGTTCCGTTACTTTATCTTTGAGGTGCCGTATCTTACAGAGTAGATAAAGTACTCACTGCGAGAGTCGTAGTTTCACATCAGCAACACTGTACTGGCCCTGGAATGGATGTCTACAACAGAGAAGAAAGGCAGGCATCAATTTAATTATCTTTTATTTTCTCGTGCTAGCTTCCGACATATATTTGATCCATGGGGAAAAGCCACAACAATATACCTGCACTCCAAGTTTTAAATATGATATTGGAAGGAATCACATTATGGCTGTTCAAAATGGCCCCTTTGCAACAACTCAACCACTCTGTTCAGGTTTTGAGTTTTGAGACTTTAAACAGATTACATCCGGACCGTCTCATTGACTCTTTATAAAACTTAGAAATGATACATTTTGTCACAGCTGAGTCATTAGGAGTTTCTGTTTAAGATTGGCCCTCCTTGGTGACCCTACCCTGGGGTGATGGCGGCCATGGCGGGATGCTTGTTGCTGTACCACACCCGGTAGTTGTGGGTAATCTTCCAGGCTGCAACGAAAGGCGCTCCGTAGTCAGCCAGCAGCCTCTCGTTATCTGAGACCAAAAGAGAGATGTTCGGAGTCAGTGAACACGATTAGCAGCAAAACTGGATTTAATGTCATTTACTCCACAAAGCTGATTTAAGTGTGATGATCAGTGTGTGTGTGTGTGTGTGTGTGTGTGTGTGTGTGTGTGTGTGTGTGTGTGTGTGTGTGTGTGTGTGTGTGCAACAATTACAGCCCCGATCATTATTAGTAATGCATTGAAGATAAGTCACCGTAGAATCTACTTAACTTAAATGAAGAAGTGAGTAAGCTCCATATTTAAAGAAAAAGGAACTGTTTTCAGAGTTAGAAAAGATACAATGAGAAGAAAATATAAGGAACTGACTTTTTACAATAAAAATAATGAACAAATTGTGAAGAGCTGGTCAAGTTTTTGGATTGAATTGCATTGTTTTGCATTAAATACAGCATGACCATCAGGCTGGGACCCTTTTCGTGAATCATCATTATTATTTGTAATATTAGTATTTACTACAAAGGCTAATAGTGATAGCTATTGTTCTTCCCCTTGTTTAACTCAAATATTTATATACACTATGAACACATTTTTAATACAAAAAGAGTCCAAAATGGTCAAAAACATGTGTCTAATGCTTTAAAGACCATTTCAAATTCTTAATGTATGGTCTTTTAAAGTGCGTTCATGAGCATCACTATAATACAATGAGACTGTACCACTGTTACATTCTTTATTTAGATCAAATGTATTTCAATCCTATTTTAAAGCCTGCAGATACGCTAGCCAGTAATGGGTAATTACGAAAACCAAGCCCTCGATGAAGCCATGAGAGGGAAGGAGAGGTTACAGACGGGATGTGTCTGCGGTCCCCCACCTTGCTGCAGAGCGGAGGACAGTAGTGAGTGGAGGTAGAGGGTGAACTGGGCTCTGATCCACTCGTCTCCCCCCTCCCAGCCCGTGCCGTCCAGGAACACGTCGTCGCGGTTCTCCGTCACGTGCTTCACCAGGTAGTCGGCGAACCTCAGGTCGGCCGTCGTCAGGTTGAGGGTCTTCCGCAGCTCCAGGTCCTGGATGTGGACCAACGCTTCCTCCACCTTCAGCACAAAACATTATTTAAATACTTGACTTTTTTTTTTTTTAACCTTTGCATTGTGATTAAATCTTTTACAGCACCGACCTCCACGATAGCGTCACTGAGGTGCCTCTGCTGGCGGAAGAGGATGTTGGTTGCCCCGGCAACGAAGCCACGCACCGTCACATCTGACAGGAGGTGATGCTGCTGCAGCGCCATGTAGGGCATACACAGGTAACCCTGGCAACAAGAGGCAAAGGTCACTGTGTCACTATGTGAGTTTATATCCTGCGGAAACTCAAACACACAGTGGGGATTCTTTTATAAGGGCGGGGGGGGGCGGGGTTGAACAGAGATATAATTGAATAGGTTATTTATAAACTGCTGCTGATCTTTTATAGACTCTAAAAGTGGAAGGAAACATCACAATATATCACATATTTAGCATTTCCCTCCAAAACAAGCTCTTAGGGCAAAAACTCCAAGGCTGAAGATACAATTAAAATGCAGTTCATTTACTTTAAGGAATAAGAGGAATACAAAATATATTAACTGCAGAAAAACCTATAAATCCATGAGATGGAAAGACTGACTTTTCTACTAAGACTTAAATATATATACTTCACTCCATGGAAACATTTGAAAATATATAAGTATATTATTTGTATAATCAATAAAAATTGCATTTGGTTTGCCTTTTTCTCCACACACATACATGATTTACATCCACAGGAAGAAAGTATTGGACCCTGACAAATATTAAGATAAGAAAGACATTACACTGTCAAATACATTTAAAAAATAGATCTAGTAATCGCTCCATGGAGCTTGAGCTCAGCCTGAGGGATTTGTCCAGATCCTCTCTGAGTGAAGATGCCTCACATCTGACTTACAGTTAATGATTCACAGTGTAACCGTTACCTTAGTGAAGATGGGGAGCGGCAGGCCGTACTGGTCCTCCTCCAGCCCTGACACCAGCCCCTGGACCACCCCCCCCTGGCCGTTGGCGGGCAGCGGCTGCACGGTGATGGGCGTCCCCGGCTCGGGGTCGAAGGCGTCCGGGAGCTCCGCGTCTTTCCCCTCGGCTGCCTCCTTCTTCTCAGGACTCTCCTCCAGCACGCTGGGGTCCAGGGTCTCCCAGTCGCTCTCCGAGGAGTCCGGCGAGGTGCGAGACGGGGGTTTGAGGAGATGGCTGTCCCCCTCGGTGCTGTCCCCTGAGGACAGAGGCTCTGCGGCGGGCTGACCGCTCTCCTGCAGCTCCGGGGGGGTGCTGGCGATGTCGGTGGCGGACACGGAGATGAACTCCTCGGCCCCTGAGACGCTCTCCACCGGACTGGGGTCCTCCGACACGCTGCCCTTAGGCCTGTAGTGGGACGAGTCCACCAGGCCGTGCTCCATCATACCTGCACAGAGGACATTGAATGTGAGTTTATTTCCTTTCTGTCTCCATTTTCCATGATAACCCCTTTTGACGTCCGCTAGTTTTCTGTTTTACATAATAAGGGTTTCTACAATTGCAACATATTTCTGGAAGTGTCAGCTTGAAATTGAGTCATTTAAGAACAAGTAACACACACTACAGATACGCTGAGAGGCAAATAGTTAAAATATTTGAAAACATGCCTTGACTTGAGTAGACTTTCAAAACCTGACAGGGCCATCTTTTTTCTATTTCAACATGTATTTTGTTTGGTGTCATGCTTTGATCCAATGCAATGCTCATTACTTCTGTGCACTATCCTAACAAACGCTTAACTTCCTGTTAAAGTGGAGATGGTGGAGTTGCTGACCTGGAAATAGTGATAAAACTGTCATCAGAGCTCCTACTAGTCTGTTGACAGGAGACACGTAGAAAAGGACCTGCAAACATAAACAACAACAAAACAGACATACAGTGTTATTTAACGTGATATGTTCTGGACTACTAGAAAAGAGAATACATGTTTCTAATCGTACCTTCTTCTCCAGCAGAATGAGCTTGAAGAGGATAAGAACCTATGAAGGGTCAAATGAAGTGTTTACATTTTAAAGAACAATTATAATAAACACTTTAAAGCTTATCATTGTCTTTCAATGTGATTGTCTTACCTTGTGCTGAAAGTGAAGTATTAGATCTCTCGGTGACAATCCTGAAGAAAGAAAACAAACACACTTCAGCAAATGAGGAATTTGACAAATGCATAGTCATTTTTATGAAATCAGTTACAATTACACGACACAAAGTCCCATTAAGCACAAATATGGTCTGCATTTTTTTAAACTAATCATTAAAAAATCAATCGTAATTTTGAATGACGAAAAGCTATTATCATAAAATGAAGAAATTAACTTAAAATAATACATAAAATGCATGAAAGTTCAAATCAGTCCACTATTTTTGCTCACAAGTATGCAACTTCTCTTTTCAGCTGTGACATGCCACTGCTCTGCACGTCTGAAATGTTTTTCATTCTGAATGATTATGAACACATGAAGTGAGAGTTCGACCCACCTAGATAGACCTGCGACCCCTCGAGAGTGGAGCCCCTCAGGGAGCCGTTCATGTGGTCGTACAGTTCCTGCAGTGCGGAGGAGGGAGGTCAGTGGTGTTGTAAACAGAATAATCAAACTGATGGTTTCTAATGGAGTTTTTCTAACCTTTAAAATGGAGATCTGGGAGAAGTCTTTCTCCTCGAAGTACGCGTGTGTGATGAGCTGCAGCTTGGCTTGAAGCAAACCGAAGAGAGGCTGGAAACCAAGACAAACGCTGTCAGCACAGATCAAGTGTTTACAGTATGAAACATCATTGCCTATTTCTGCTCATAGGGAGAAACAGCACTCACACATGACTCCTGTTTTCCCTCAAATCTTTCCCCTCTAAAGCAGGAACTGGCCGGACATGATAAGATCTACTGTTTTCAGTTCGTCCTCATTTAAGATTAGAGTGAGAGATAAAAACAACTAAAGTAGCTCTTGCACAATTTTATAGGAGTTTTTTTATTTCCCTTTGTATGTAAAGTATAGTGTGTTGCATTGCTGGACACCCCTGTGACTGTAGCTATTGTGCATATGAAAATAAAACCGTTGAATAATTAATCTTGTTTTGCAGTTTGTTTTTCTTGGTAAGGGCATTTGCTGCATTTCGAAAAAAAAAAATCTTTAAATAATGAAAATGTCCTTCCACTGACATTATTAAACATTGAATATTAATAATATGTCACAGAAAAAGCACAACATACAAATATCAAACCTGAAAATGAGCATAATAGGGCCCCTTTAATAACAGAGGATTACAATTCGTTTCCTTTTCCTAAATGCATTAATAAAAGATGGGAAATAGCTCAAATAAAAACATCATTTACAAACTGATGGCTCATCCAGTGAAGTATATATCAGATTGTTCCAAAGCCTGAAGTCTCATGATGAATTTTAAAGCGTTGACTGTAAATTACGTAAATCTCTGTGGGGACGCATGAAATGGAAACGTCCGTCATGTTGATTCTTTTATCCCATCTTGTCTCCCATATTTCCATTCCTCTTCTACAAGATCATGCTGAGGTCACAGCTCAGAGAATTCATTTCTTTCCAGCATGAAAAGCTACTGACACTAAAAATGTTTTTATGTCATAAAAGACGGCTTCCCGACTGACTGACTGACTGACTGACTCACCACTCGACTGAGGACGCACACGCTCTTCTGAACCGTCTCCCTGGTGACGTCAGCCTGCCGGACTTTCAGGGCCTGCAGAGGGATTAAAGACATTCAGATATTTATTTATATTAATACCACAAACGCTGCGAGGCCAGACAGTGACTAATCGCTATGGAGAAATTATGTGGACAAAAATAGAAACGGGACATGATGCCATTTTATATCCTTCTCATCCAATCAAGAAGGGACACATTCACCTTAATTTATCAAGACTTTTATTCAGCTTTTTTATTGTTCTTTCACATGTAAAACAATGGAAGTTAATAGGGTTGAGTAATTGATGTATACATGGTCATTTTCTCGGTGGCGTATACCCTCATTCAATTAATTATGTGAGTATTTATCCCACCATATGTGCAAGCATGCTTTTAGCTATACATTTACTGAGCTAGATAACAAAATCCATGGCTTTTTAATAATTAAGTACAGAAAATAAGATGACTGACCTTTGCTTCTATTTGGCGATAACAGGAAACTCCATAGACACACTTCATGTCTTCACCGAGGGGCGGCAGGTGGAAATACACAGTGTCTGCAAAACAAAGTCACGTTAATAATGTACCTTTATCTGTAGACCTGGGTTCCCTGGCTCAGTACACCAAGCCCACCATTACGAACCTTGGCATTAAAATGGACCGTGAACTAAAACTTGAGAGTTAGATTAAATCTGTGGTAAAAACAAGCTTTTATCACTTTAGCTAGCCAAAGTAAAAGCTTTTCTCTCCAGCAGACAGCAGTTTGAGACAGTAGTCCACGCCTTTGTCACCACTCGGCTGGATTACTGTAACTCTCTCTACGTGGGGGTTAGTGGGTCCTCCCTCGCTCGTCTGCAGCGGGTGCAAAAATGCCGCAGCAAGGCTTTTAACTGGCACACGGAGATATGACCACATTTCCCCCATTTTGGCTTCTCTCCACTGGCTGCCAGTACATTTTAGGATTCATTTCAAAATTTGCTTTTAAATCCCTAAAGGCCATGACCCCACCATAACTTTCTGAGTTGCCCTTACACGCCCACCCGCCGTCTCAAGTCAGCGGATCAACTGCTCCTGAACGTGCCCAGAACCAAGTCAAAGCTCAGAGGGGGCCGTTGCTTCTCTGTAGAGACTCAGACAGGCCTCCAAACTGCCTGCTTTTAAATCGCTTCTTAAAACCCACCTCTTCTCCTTAGCGTATTAACATCTTTTACAGTGTTGCTTTTATTGCTTTTAAATTGTCTATTGTTTTTACTTGTACTTCTTTTATGGTGTGTGAGCAGAGCTGTGCTTTTTGTATGTTTTGTTTTTCGCCTGTACAGCACTTTGGTCTGGAGGTTTAAAGTGCTCTATAAGTAAAGCTGTATTGTATTGTATTAATAATCAGATTCTTATATACAGCGTGTCCATCAGGAGCATCTTGGAGCAAAAAGAAAGGGATACAATATGTGTTAGCTTAGCACCACTCCTGCAGGATTTGCTCTGCAGAATACGCTCACAGTGAGATACTCGTTAAAAAGGTTACGTGAGAGAAAAGGTACAAACGAGAGAATTCAACTCAGAGTCATAAAAGCTGAGGAGAGACAGGTAATGGGTTATTAATTTAAAACACAGCAAGGCTTCAAACAGCAGCAGGACAAACTGGATAAACCTGCAGAAATGGGCCGCCTGTCAATCAAAATTGATCTCTCAAACTTCAGTTAGAGAACCAAAACCAGTTCTGCTGCATGTTGACGCATTTACTAAAACCATTGGGGGAAAGATTTTACACTTTACTGCATTTATCTGACAGCTTTGGTTACTTTCAAATTAAGATGTTTGCATATTATATATATGAAGACTATGAAATGAGAGGTTTTGTTTTATTTGATTCAACAACCCAACAGTAACAACTTAAATAATCTGTCAAAATGAATAGTTTTTAAGGAATTGGTCATGTTTCACATTTCTTTCAATAATTGTAATTTCTTTGTAAAAATGTAGAGGTTTCTACTAAACAAAGATTATGAAAGTCTCCCTTTGGACTCTGGGTAACAGTGAAAACCGTTTTTTTTTACTATTTTCTGTTTTTTTTAAACGCTAACAATCAATCAATTAAGAGAGAAAACAATCAGCAGATTCATATATAATATACATTTTTGATACACGCTTTGAACACGCTTCCAGTCTCTGTTGTATATCATTGTTAATATAAGCTGTAGCCCCTAATCCATTTAACATGAGTTGAGGGGGATGTCATGCTGATTTGAGCAGGATCTGCAATAATAACAGATCAACGTTGGTGCGTTCAAAGACACTCTGGACATCTGAGACGTTATGCTTTTAGCTGTTATAAATGACCAAATCTCACATCATTCTTAAAGCTACATTAACGTTTGTCTCCAGGGAAATATTTCCAAATAATTCAGCTCATGAATAAAATACGGTTCTGGCAGCTGGTTTTTCTAATGTCGTATATTTAGAGTTTACCGAAACACAAAATGAAAAAGCAGAAAGAAAAGTCCTGCAAGAAAAATGTTATACTTTAGTGAATTGAATAGAAACTAGCGTGTAGAATAAAGGAAATCAGTCTTAAACCTTATGTGCAATGACATGGAAAACATTAGGTCAAATATGATTTACTGTCTAATAATACAAAATACTACATCATATCAAAGATCGCCTGAAGCCCCTAACACGAAACGTCTCTGGGAACAAGCAGTGTACAAAGTGCCACAACTATCCGCCTTCGTACCATGTGAGGAGAGGCTGACGAGCGTTTCATAATGTGGCGCATGAAGATCTCCTCAGGGAGCCACAAAGGTTCAATGTGGACGTCAGAGATTAAGCAGAGCCTGGACAGAGCTCCAGCTGCAAGAATCCAAAAACACAGCCTTCAACTCTCAGCTTCACAGCAGGAAGCTCTGCTGGAGATAAGTGAGGCTGGAGCAGCACACTGTGATTTACTTACAGACATTTTTGGTGTGGTTTCTTAAGATTATTTAAATCTGACGGGTTTATTTTGTGAGATAATACGCAGGTCTTCAATTTCCTCTGTGCATTGCATCGGGGTCCAGATGTGTTGCTTTTTTATTTACAGTGAACTGGACATGTTTAAAACCTGCGTAGAGATATATTGTATTGTGAAAATAAGGAAACCATTTTAGTCCAGCACTGTCAAGCTTTTCCTTATCCATAAACAGGGGAAATAGCAAAATAGAAACATTCAGTATGTGAGGGGCAAAACTGCTCAAAAATGTCCAAAACGATGCAAAACGTTGAATACAAAACAGCTACAACGACTACTTCCTTATTGGACATGAGCTCTGGGTGTTTCTTTGATGATTCTCTTTATCTTCAGTAGTGTTCCTCTCCCCTCTGTAACCAACACCCAGCTCTCTCAGTGTCACTGCTGCTTTTATGAGCCGCAGTGCAGAGGGAGTCGCTCACATCAATGCTGCTTTCATCAGCTAACAGTCTGCCGGAGCGGCACAAACAAAGGACACAAGAGAAGAAGAAACTCACAGCAGGAGTTCATTCAAATATTCTACATTTAGAAATGCAGAAATGGGCAAAAAGGCTGCCTGTGAGTGAGATCCTGAGAGGGGCTGGTTTTCTACTGAAGTGAATTCAGTGTTTCTCCTTGATTCAGACTACATCTTATGATCTGGGAGCTGAATGCTTACAATAATATATTCACTACAGAGTAACGTCAGCACAATAACAATAAGGTTTGATGGCTGTAGTTTTAGTCGGACTTTGACTCAGTTCTTCCTTCATAAGGGAAGTCTGAAGGGTAGCGGTGAACCACAGGAAGGTCACATGACTGCAGCCCAACACACGGGACACACACAGAGTCCCACTCTCTCTTCACAGTGTGGATACTGTTTCCCTCTGTAAAAACTCTACTTAAAGTGGACCTATCATGATATATTTGAAACATATATTGTAGGGCCATACCTATACAAAACATGTCTGTGAAGTTTTTTTTTTCAAAATACCAAACAGATCACCCATTGTAGCCATGCCTCATACTGCTCATAGCCCTCTTTTGCAGCCCTGTTGGAGAAACGCGGATCTTGGGTCCTTAGCTTGAAAAAAAGAAAGAAGAGGAGGCGGAGCTAATGCCTGATCAGAATTCTACCGGAGATAAAGTTAAATTCTGCTGTGATAAAACGCCATCCTGTTCCAAACCACATCAAGGATTATTTCTGAAACAGTATGGAGCTCAAATGCTTTTTTATCTTGCGGGTTTATCACAAGGTGAGTTCCTTTTTATTTCCTGCTTTTTAAAAACACATGTGCTCTCCAGTACAGGTTAGCTCTGAGTGTTAGCGAGGCTTGCTAATGTAAACAAAGACGAGATTACGTCCAAAACACGTCAGGCATTGTTTCTGATAGCAACTTTCTGAGGGTCCGCTGCCGATTTGACTTCATATCGGCAGCAAATCTAACCTAATGGCTCCGGAAACCCCAAAACACTCTTCTCCACAATAAACAAACTCCTCAGCCCCCTGGACACCACCACTCAGTCATTCAAAGTAGACAAATGCAGCTCTTTTCTCAAATTTTTTCAAAGCAAAATAGACAACATTTACAGCAGCTTAACCACTACCACACCAGCTCTCCCTCAAGCCACCTGCCCCCCCTTATCCTGCCAACCCCTGTCCCAGTTCTCCCCTGTCTCCCCTANCGGCCCCTCTGATCGAGTGGACCGCCGCCAGCCGAGTCCGACTCACGTGCTTCGGGTCGACCACCTCCACCCGCATCCCAACTCTGAAGGAGGTCCGCATGCTCTCTCCCAACTAATAATAATAATAATAATACGTTTAGTTAGTATAGCACCTTTCACAGAAATAGAATCCACAAAGTGCTTCACAAGAAAGAACAAATGTTAAAATTAAAATCACAGAAACTTGAATACAATAACAACATGAGGCAGAAATTTAAAGGGGACCTATCATGCCAAATGCACTTTTTTATGTCTTTTATACATGAATATGTGTCCCCGTTGTGTCGGGGAACTCACGCAGCGTCAGAAAATAAAACCCTCTCTCTTTTCCCCCGTACCCAAATCTCTAAAAACGGGGGAACAACGGAGCTGATCCAGATTTGCGTCCGATATGACGTAATATCTGAAATGTGGACCCACAGCCCTATCAGAAACGTTGCTATCAGAAACAATGCCTGACTGTTTTGGACGTAATATGGTCGGTGTTTACATTAGCATCGCTAACACTCAGAGCTAACCTGTACTGGAGAGCATGTGTGTGAAGAAGCAGGAAATAAAAAGGAACTCACCTTGTGGTATAACCGGCAAGAGAGAAAGCCTTTGAGCTCCATACTGTTTCAGAGATAATCCTTGATAATCCATGATATGGCGTTTCATCACGAAGACAGTATTTAGTTTGGGAGCTCAGCCCCCTCTTTTTAAAAAAAAGCTTTATACCTCAAATCAGCATTTTTGAATCAGGAAGTGANGACTGTTTTGGACGTAATATGGTCGGTGTTTACATTAGCATCGCTAACACTCAGAGCTAACCTGTACTGGAGAGCATGTGTGTGAAGAAGCAGGAAATAAAAAGGAACTCACCTTGTGGTATAACCGGCAAGAGAGAAAGCCTTTGAGCTCCATACTGTTTCAGAGATAATCCTTGATAATCCATGATATGGCGTTTCATCACGGCAGTATTTAGTTTAGACAGTAGCTGAAGGGTCCCGCATGAGCTCAGCCCCCTCTTTTTAAAAAAAAGCTTTATACCTCAAATCAGCATTTTTGAAACAGGAAGTGAAATAGAGGGATATGAGGCATGGCTGTTTTTAATTTTTTCATCATCACTTTTCTTGTTTTTTATGCATGGTGCTTGTTTAATAAAGACTATTAATTATACTTATAATAAAATGAGCCTCAGTATATTCAGACTTACCTTCAGGTAGAAGTCCACAGGTAAAGTGTGGGTCCCCACCAGCGTCTTCATCAGATACTCTTTCCAATCTGGGATGTGCTGCTTCACGTCTGGGGAGACACAATTCCTCAATTTAGATCATATCCTATAAAAGATCTGATGAAGGCTAAACACAACACGTCTGTGTCAAGTGTCCTACTTGGGTTGCCGTCCGGAGTTTTCCAATATGACGGACCATCTCGCACATGCGCAGTACAAATCGGGCAGGGGGACAGATCGGGTAGTGACAGCCATGCCTCATATCCCTCTATTTCACTTCCTGTTTCAAAAATGCTGATTTGAGGTATAAAGCTTTAAATTAAAAAGGAGGGGTCTGAGCTCATGCGGGACCCGGCAGCTACTGTCTAAACTAAATACTGCCGTGATGAAACGCCATATCATGGATTATCAAGGATTATCTCTGAAACAGTATGGAGCTCAAAGGCTTTCTCTCTTGCCGGTTATACCACAAGGTGAGTTCCTTTTTATTTCCTGCTTCTTCACACACATGCTCTCCAGTACAGGTTAGCTCTGAGTGTTAGCGATGCTAATGTAAACACCGACCATATTACGTCCAAAACAGTCGGGCATTGTTTCTGATAGCAACGTTTCTGATAGGGCCGTGGGTCCACATTTCAGATATTACGTCATATCAGATGCAAATCTGGATCAGCTCCGTTGTAGCCCCGTTTTTAGAGATTTGGGTACGGAGGAAAAGAGAGAGGGTTTTATTTTCTGACGCTGCGTGAGTTCCCTGACACACCGGGGACACATCTTTATGTTTAAAAGACATCAGAAAGTGCATATTGCATGATAGGTCCCCAAGAGAATCTGCTGTAATGACCCTCATGATATTTGATTATTTTTCAATGTGGCCTTATTTCTCAAGTCCTATATAGTAACAACACAGTCATAACTAGAAGTAGGGGGGACTCAAACTTCAATTGTGTGCAGTATATCATACTTGTTTTAAAATGTATATTGCTATATTTGTTCCTAGTCTGAAGTTTGGGAATTTTCTACTGACGCAAGCTTTTGTCACACATGATTTAGCTCTCAGGCCATCGCACGATAATACCTGTAATCCAGATTCTAGCTACGATTAACGAGATCATTTAGGCATTTCTTTTTTTTAAAGAAACCATGCATTTCAATCACAAGTACAGGTAGTGGTGTTCAGAGAGTTAGCCTAAATATAAATAAAAAAGACATGATGAAGTCATATTAACTGTCTTATTGTGTGAGTCCTCACCTTGTGGGGGCACCAGCAGTTTGCTAGTCATGGCGCACCATCCGATCGGGTTCAGCTCTGCAGAAACCAGGCTGCACCAAAAGTCATGGCTGCTGTCTTCCTCAAAGCCTTCGTACCTCAACAGAGCTTTATATCCTGCAGACGAGAGGACAGTCAATTACATTTTCTCATTACATTACATGACATGTTACTTATTAGACACTTTTATCCAAAGCGACGTACATACTCAACACTGTGGACAATCCCCACAGGAGCAATTTGGGGTGAAGTGTCTCAGGGACACAACGACATGCTGACTGCAGTGGGGTTTGAACCTGTGCTCACATGATCCGAACACCAACGCACTAGTCCACTGCGCCACAGCCTCCCACTGCTGTTGTTTTAATATCTAAAATGTAAATGCTTTTGTTTTAATTCCTTCTGTTTTGCTTTAATGGCAATCTTATCAGTATTTTTAATTAATCCTTATTTCTATTTTTGATATTATTTTGTGGTTTGTACCCTTATTTTGTCAAACTTTCAAACTCATTGACACCAGAAAAATATAACTACTGCCACCATGTGCTTGTAATAATAAATGATGGTAATACTAACATTTATTTTTACTTTATTCCAACCGCGGGAAACATTATTAGGTTTAGAAGAAACAAACGTATTTTGTGCAGCCCTAGTTTTCTTTTGAAGAATATCTATAACAGGGCTATTCAATTAATTTGGAATGGGGGCCGGTTGATGAAAATGATCCAAAGCAAGGGGCCGGGAAAAAAATGGCTTGAAATATGAGCAATCATATTAAGAGCTTCCGATACAGTAAATACTACAGCAGGTCACCCTTGAAAAAGAGTTCAATGATCTCAATGGGATTCACCTGCATAAATAAAGGTATGAAATGAAATGACTACAACAGCATAGTGGAGTGCATATATTTTGTTTAATTAAATCAAACATAGCCCCAAGGCCTTTATAAATGGCAAGTTCAGAACTCAGTACATGTGAAGCTAATATAACCATCAACATCATTAGATTTAGATTAAATGATCGAATAATTCACACAAAATAGCAATTTAGGGCCATACACAAACAACAGTGCATATTATGGTATAATAACAATAAAGACAAGTGAGCCATACCACATCAATTGCTTAATTAAAAGCAAAAACAATTATCAAAAGNAGTTTAATTAATTATTTTTTTTAATTAAACTTTTATTTTTTATTTTTTAACATTATACTCAAAGGGCCAGTAAATATCACCCGGGGGCCGGATTTGGCCCGCGGGCCGCCAATTGAATAGCCCTGATCTATAACATGAGTAACACGTGTACTTTTGCAAACAAATGATATCTAAAATGTGCATGCTTTTGTTTTAATTCCTTCTGTTTTGCTTTAATTCGTACGGGTGTCTAAACTTCTCTTGTGCTGCAGTCTTGGTCACTCCTTTTCAAAAGACATCCTGA